TCTGGTCAAGCTATGGTGTAGCCATATATAGGCCTAACGTATAGAATTCGAAGTTTCTCAATATTATGATGCGATTTCAATATAATATATACTAATATACATAATGTATAGGAATAATGACTCTTGTCCATTTTGCGCACGAGCTGAAAGGACACCAAAGCGTCACACTGCAGACACCAGTTTAGTTGAGTAGGCTTGGACGTCGTGGGGATTTTGCGAGTGATTTATTGAACATCGAGCTAACAGACAGCGCGGGAATGATGAGAGCGGTCGTCTGCACTGCTCGCGAGAGAAAGCGATGTCGGTGCTATTGCTCGATCATCGCAGATCTTGGATTGTTGTACCTCGATGTAAGAGATTTTGTGTGTGCGTGTGTTCGTTCATCGGTAGTTCTGTGATAAATGCCAGAGGAAACAGTAATCGGTGGATCTCACGCTACTTTTTAAAAGTTTCTTTCCACATAATATTGTTTAAAAAGTATAAGTTTTCCCACCACAATCGCACATACGTGTGAGTTCCCAAGAGTTTCTGTATGGTGTGAGAGAGATGTATAATATATCGTCATTGGTGGGGTTTTGTGATAAATTACAGTTGGTTTGAAGTCTTTAGTTTCTTTACGTATTTTGTTGTACAAGTTTTCTCATTGCTATCGCTCATCCCTGTGACTTCTCAAGAGTTTGTTATGATCTGAGAGAGAATGTGTTCTGCGTTGGTGGTTCTGTGATACATACCAGAGCGATAAGGAGTCGTCGATTTATTTCACACGTCTTTCGCTTATCTCTATATTGTTCTGTACAATTTACAATTTTCCCATTGCAATCATTCATCCATGTGAGTTCTCAAGAGTCTGTACGTGGGGGCTCTCGTGGCCTAGAGGTTAAGGTGTTGGCCTCTCATTCATCAATGGCAGGTGCTCCGGTGTGGTTTGTTAAATTTTTTTAAAAATCAATTATCTATCGTCCATATATTGCCTCCTTCTTTTTGTGTATGTAACTCTCTTATAACACCTCTTATCGTCGGCACCTATATGAACTGACTGTGTTGCAAATGCCGTAAAACGTTTACTAACTAATGCTAAAACAAACTATGGCAAAGAGAAACATGATCTGTGTATGTTGATGCTTGGACGTTTTGGCGGTGTAACCTAATAAAGAGCCACCAAACCCCTTCTTTGTGGCATAGTGCTGGTAGTAATAACGTTGTCTTTCGCGCTCCCATAGGCTCAGAACTCAGTTCAGACCATTTAATTTAGCAGTGAGGGGGGGAGGGGTCACTTTGATTTCTTCCTTTTATAGTTGTCTGTCTGTCTGTCTGTCTGTCTGTCTGTCTGTCTGTCTGTCTGTCTGTCTCTCTCTCTCTCTC